GGCTGTGGGCTGACCCTCTGGCCACAAGAAGGCATCCAGCACGGGTGGACTCTGTGTTTTTAACCACCTCTCCAGAATGAGCATGATGGCTGGCAGGCTGTCTGAGTCTCCTCCAGAGCCTGAGATCCAAGGTTTTGTGTTTCCCCCATGAGTCACTGGGTGCAACTTCTGAAAATGGCTGCTGCAAAAGGCAGAGTCTCTGCCTTCAAGGCTCTCAGGGCCCCTGGGGTGAGAGTCCCTAAACCCAGTAAGTCAAATCTGAAAAAAAATGTGCTGCAATTAAGGCCAAAAAAAAATGTGCTAAAACTAAGGAGAGTGTGACTCATTGTGTGGCAGAGAACAGAGGGCGATGGGGAGGGGAGGGAGAGAGGCTGGCATGGCCGGGGAAGAGCTTGTGAAGTGCCCTAAGTGCCAGCTAAGTTTGAATTTTCATGGAGAGGGAATATAGTGCCAACAGCAGCTTTCTTCACTGGGGAGGGGTCCCTGCCCACTAAATACCCATGTCCCACCCCTGGACTTCTAGGCGGTCAGGTGCTGTGCACTCCATGTCTGAGGCAGTAAGAGAGACCCTTGCTGTCCCTCTCTCATCCATGTGGCTGGAGATGAAGGACTTGGACACGATGGGACAGAGAGATAGAGGCCGCCTTGAGAGCCTGTGCAGAGAGGTGACTGTCTACTATCCACCCGTGTTACGGGACAGAAACAGGCCCTTGTGTTAAAGCCATTGTGACCGAGGGCTTGTTTGTTACTGCAGCTTAACCTGTTCGATCCTGACTACGACAGAAGATATGGTGAAAACAACACTGATGCAGCATTCACTACATTTCCTTCTCAACCACCGGTGCCACTGCCATAGAGACCCCAACTTACAGACGGGACCCCCAAGAGCAGAAAAGTGAAGGGAGTCACCTGCAGTCAACGCCACTGGCAGGTGACAGGTGACAGAATCAAACCCAGCTCTGTCTGGTCCCAAAGTGGTTTTGCTTCACAGGATGCCTCCGAGTCTGGCCTGCGTGCCACTGGCAGAACGCAAGGTAGTTTTTGGCACTAAGTGGGTGAAAAGGTTACATCGAACTTGTGTCTAATTTATTTAAGGGCACATCAGAACAAACATAGAAACTATATCAAACCAGTGATGTCATGGCGGTTACTTCTTTGGAGCAGGAGACATTTTTTCAACCAGCAAGTGGATGTGGATTTCAAGAGAAAGAGGAAATAAATCGTTCTCTTAAACTGGGGCAAAGGGGCCGGTCAAGGTTTATGTGGATGCAGCCACACTGTGACGATGGTGGGGGGAGGGGGAAGGGGATATGCTGCCCCAGACCGGGCTGCATCTCTTGTCTTGGGAGCTCGAGGTGACCAGGTTCGCTTTTTCGGAGAGAAACTGAGCACTGGGGGCGGAGCGGGAGTCCGGTGCGCTTTCCACTGAGCCACACGGCCGAGGGGCGCCTCACGTGATCACAAATGCTCTCTCTCTCTCTGGGATAAAACACTAAAGGCTTTAAGGCTTTAAGTTTCTGGCAACCCGAGGTGTGTGAAAACAGGGAGAGGGAGCAGCAGGAGTCCTGCCTGGGGAGCAGCCGGGAGGACGGCCCCTCCTCTGGCCAAGACCGGACACACTGTTCCCAGTTCTGATTCCTGGGGAGACATGTTTCACATTTTTAAAGGACAAATATTTATTCTCTTTCCTCAATGTATGTGCTGAACTTCCAGGTCCCCTGCCCCGCGAGCCCGGCTCTCGCTCTGGAATGTAAAGCTGCCCCCTTTTCGGGGCGGCTCCCTCTCTGTTCCTGAAAGCTTACCTGTCGCATATTTCTGTGGCTCTGCTAATGAGCGGAGAAGTGACCCAGAAAAGGCGCCTGTGTTCCTCCCAGGCGTCCATAGACCGGCCATTCAGAGCCCGAGCTGAAAGGGCTGTTTCATGGGCCCAGCTGCCGCCCCGCCAACAGCTCTGCACCCGGAGCCCTGGACACAGCCCTGTCCACGGGGGGAGGGGGCTCTGGGCGAGGGGCCCCGGCTCACGTTCTCCTCGTCCTCCATTCCCGGGGCCGTGAGGGGAGCGCTCTGCCTCTGTCACCACCGGTCCCCTTCGCTGACTCCAGTCTGACCCTTCATCATTAGTTTTTTCCTTTTTAAAAAAAATATATTTTTATTGATTTCAGAGTGGAAGGGAAAGGGAGAGAGAGATAGAAATATCCATGATGAGAGAGAATCATTGATCGCTGCCTCCTGCATGACCCCTGATGGGTATTGAGCCCACAACCCGGGCATGTGCCCTGACCAGGAATCGAACCCTGATCTGCTGGTTCATAGGTTGATGCGTAACCACTGAGCCACACCAGTTGGGCAGTTCTTTCTTTTAGTGCATTTCTTCATTTGCACACCAGACACCCTGCTCCAGGCACCATGCTGAGTCCTGGAGATTCAGTGGTGAGCGAGACAGGCCAGACCCCTGCTCCGGGGGACCTGACACATCGGGGGCGGGGGCAGTAACAGATTCATAACACAATTTGGGGAAGTGACAAGTACCACAGCCATCATGCCTGCACTGTCTCTGGAGAAGAGAATTAGGCTTAGAAGTTGCAGAGAGAAAAGAAACCAGCAGCGCCCCAGTTTTGGAAATGGGGGAGGGCTAAGAATTATATGAATAAATGAAACTTACATGGAAATTCGTTTAACTTCCTCGTTCTCTTAAACCGGGGCAAAGGGGACTGAGACCTAGTTCCAGGCTGACTCTGCCTCTAACTGGCTGGGTGGCTTCAGGCAAGTCATGGACTTCTCTGGGCCTCAGTTTCCTCATCTGACAAATGGGCTAATACACTCGGATCTGCTGGCATCGAAGGTTTGCTGGGAGAACAAAGGAGGACAGTGACAGCGCGAGCGACTGTTCCATTATTGATGAAGGTTGTGAGAATGTCGGTTGGGTCAGCTGTGCCCGGCAATCGTTTTAAGGATAATGTTTGTACATTTCCTTTTATTAAGGTACAACTTACATAGAGTGAAGTGCACAGGTCTTAAGTGTTAATGATTCTACCCCCTGGGAAGATAACACTTCTTTGGCCCCCATCTCCACTTCTGTCCTCTCATTGCCTCCTTCCATGGTCCCGGGAGGCGGGCAGGCCAAGTACTGCCATTCCCACTGCATGATAAGAAGCCAAGGCTCAGAGAGGTTAAGTCAGCAGCTCCAGGGCACACAGCTGGTCAACAGCAGAGGTGGATTTGAAGCTGGGTCTCTCAGGGGGTGAAGCCCATGCTCTTTTCACTTTACCCCATCGACCACTGGCCCTAGATGCAATGGTAGGGACCATTCCTGATTATGTTCCTTTATTTTTAAAATTTTTTATTGATTTTTATTTTTATTTTTTAAAATATATTTTATTGGTTTTTTACAGAGAGGAAGGGAGAGGGATAGAGAGTTAGAAACATCGATGAGAGAGAAACATCGATCAGCTGCCTCCTGCACGCCCCCTACTGGGGATGTGGCTGCAACCAAGGTACATGCCCTTGACCGGAATAGAACCTGGGACCCTTCGGTCCACAGGCCAACGCTCTATCCACTGAGCCAAACCAGTCAGGGCTTTATTGATTTTTAGAGAGAGAGAAAGGGAGAGGGAGAGAGAGAGAGAGAATCATTGATGTGAGAATGAAACATTGATTGGCTGCTTCCTGCATGCATCCCAACTAGGGATTGAACCTGCAACCCAGGCATGTGTTCTGACTGAGAATCAACTGGCGACCTCTCAGGGCATGGGACGACCAACCGACCGAGCCACACCGGCCAGGGTTATGTTCCTTTGTTTACAAACCTTTATTTTTGCCTCCTCCATGCAGACCCTGGGCTGGGCCTGGATGTAGAAATGAATCGACTAGACTCTTACCTACTCATGGATGAGAGATAATGCACAGAAGCCCGGGGAGGGGGCCGAACGCAGGGGAGCGGGGAGGAGGTGGGCATGGAGAAGGCCCACACTACACCTGAGAAAGCAGGCAGCTGAGAACACTGGCCAGGCACTTCCCGGCAGTGATACTTCTCAGCTGTGTGACTTTAGACAAGTTGCTCCACCTCTCTGTTCTTCAGTTCCTCACCTGGGAAATGAGGGTAATAATAGTAGCTGCCTCACAGGATTGTCAGGAGAATGAAATGAGATCGTCCGTATAACTCTGCTCCTCTAATCAACTCTAGGAGGTAGGCACCGTTCGCATCCCATTTCCAGACGAGGAATCGGAGTCACAGAGAGGTGAAGCAACTTGCCCAGGGTCACACAGGTAGTTTATCGCAAACCCAGCGCATCTGCCTCCAAGTCTGTGCCCTTGGCCACCTTCTCTGCCGCCTGGCACCTACCAAGGACTGATGTACACGTGACTCCAATTATGATCTTGGAAGAGTCTGTTTGGCAGGGTGGGTGGGAGGAAGGACCGTCTGGGCAGATTGCCCTGCAAGTGCAAAGCCTTGGACGAGAGCTCGGAGAACCCAGGTGCAGTTGGAGAGCAGGCCTCACGTGGAGAGGCAGGGGGTAGCCGAGGCCGGAGAAGGGGGGTGTGTTTAATGAGAAAATTGGGGTTGAAATTGCAGGTGAGAGAAGAATCGGGGTGTGGGATAGGCCGCAGGGCAGGGCTGGGGTGTGAGGCCAAGGACTCAGGTCTCCCCGGCCTTGGAATCGCAGCCGCAGGTCCGAGCAGGCTCCAGCCGCTGGAGGAGCGCCCTCCACCCACCTGAGATTTCCTGAGCTGCAGCTGCAGCTCTGGTTGCTTCTGGAGGCAAAGGAGGCCTTGTGGTTACGGGGGCCTCTCCAGCCCTTTCCCGGCTTCCTCCCTGCCCTCTCTGGAGGGAGGGAAACACACCACACACAGCCCCTTTTAGCCTAGCCGGGCCCCACCCCCCCAGGAGGCAAGGGGCAGGGCAGGGCCTCCTGGCTGGGAGGCTGGGCGGCAAGGTTGATAAGACCCGGAGCCTCCTGGCCTCCACAGCTGTGCTGGCTGCTGCCCGCGCTGCCAGGACCATGAGGGTCATCCCTGGTGCCGTCCTCCTGCCCTGCCTTCTGCTGCTGCTGCACCTGGCCCCACGCACACATGGCCTCGCCCCCCAACCCAGAGGTGAGGGGGCCTATGTGAGGTGGGGGACATTGGACGACTGGCCGCTGACCAACAGCCTGGGGACCGGGCACTGGGATGGGCAGAGAGCAAATGGATCCAAGAGAGGAGAGGGCGGGGAGGCAGGGTGGCCAGCGCAGGAGCAGAGATGGTGACTCGCACAAGGGCCAGGGCTGGAGTGACCCTCAGTCTGTCCTGTCGGGGCCATGAGTGGGCTTCTCCCTGGAGCCTTAGTGTTTCCTGGGGTTTCTCAGGCCCCGGGCTGCCCTCAGGGCCCATTCATGCTGCAGAGACTGCTGTCTCTTGGGTCGCTGAGGGCAGAAGCTACTGAACAGCCGCTGATGCCTGGGCCACACCGAGCCCAGAGCTGAGCGCATGGCACTGTGAGGCGTGTACCTCTGGGGGTCGGGGGGCTCCATTTCTGGTCACCAGCCCTTTCAGTGCATCCTGGATTGGGCTCCATGCATGCTGTACCTTTTCCAGAGTTTCAGCCGTGGCCCCTGAATCCTGGAATACCCAACTCTTCTGTTACAGATGGGGAAACTGAGGCTGCACCGGGGAGGACCTAAGACCACCCAGTGAGAGAGCCCCAGAGCCTTCTGGGTCTTGATCCATTGTTCTATGTTGTGGCCATTTCCCTCTCCCTCCCTGCCTCAGTTTACCCATTGTGCCATTAGCTAGAGGGGACCAGGGAGTGGCTGCAAGGTCATTTCTAAGGCCCCTGGGGGAACTCTGAAGCCTGGGTAGGGGACTGGGGCTGGGAGCTGGGAGCTGGGGCCGCCGAGAGCACGATCCCATTCCCGTATTTGGGAGAAGCTGGGCTCAGTCTGGACTCCCTGTGGGTGGAGAGGGAACAGCCTTTGCCCTGAGCCCCGCTGGCTGCAGGCCCAGGCCAGTGACCTCATCAAGCGGTAGCCATTCTCCCCACGGCAGAGGAAACAGAAGCTCCCAGAGCTGCCTCCCAGGGAGTCTGGACAGACATCTCTCCTTGGGGGTGTGCCCTGGGGGCCCACCTGGTCAGGCCGCCAAGGCGGCTACTAGACATTTCTGTCCCTTCCCCTGCCCTTGGACACCAGCCAGCAGGCCGTGCCAGGGAGGGAAACTGGGTCCACTTGGTGATTTGCTCTGATGTTCAGATGAAAGAGCCCATGTTGACAGGCGCTGCGTTGGGCCTCAGGGCCGCGTCCACCCCGGAGGGCCCACCCTCGGCGCCCTGCGGCCCAGCTCGGAGAAACAGCTGCTCCTTGTTTATGGAGCCTCTCTGGGCACAAACCTGAGCAGCAGGTTTTAAAGGGCAGCCTGCCTTTGCTGCTCCCTGAACACCCACTGCAGGCCCAGTCCTGGGCTGGCACCCGATGTGCACTTTTGCTCATCCTCAAAGGATCCTGGAAGGAAGGGCTTATCAGCCCATTGTACAGATGAGGAAACTGAGGCTCAGAGAGGTGAAGTGAGTCACCCAAGGCCAGAATCTGAGCCTCTTTCCCGGGAGCTGAGCTGTGAGGCCGAGTGTCCACATGCTGGTCAAGGCTCAAGACAGCCTGGCTCCAGGGCAGGCTAGGCTGCCCGAGGCCTCCGGTCAGGGTCTAAGTAGCCCCTGATGCTCCGCCCCGTTGCCTGAGTGTCTCATCCAGCCTTCTGATCTCTGCCCCTTGCTCTTTGCCACCTCCCTCCTCCTCCTCCCAGGGCACCTCTGCCGGACCCGGCCCACGGACCTGGTGTTTGTTGTCGATAGCTCGCGCAGCGTAAGGCCCGTGGAGTTTGAGAAGGTGAAGGTGTTCCTGTCCCAGGTCATCGAGTCGCTAAATGTGGGGCCCAATGCCACCCGAGTGGGCGTGGTCAACTACGCCAGCTCCGTGAAGCAGGAGTTCCCGCTGCGGGCCCACCTGTCCAAGGCCGCACTGCTTCAGGCCGTGCGCCGCATCCGGCCGCTGTCCACAGGCACCATGACTGGCCTGGCCATCCAGTTCGCCATCACCAAGGCCTTGAGTGATGCTGAGGGCGGTCGCGCCAAGTCCCCGGACATCAGCAAGGTACACGCCCCCTTCCCCCGCCCTGCTGGGGTCCCCCAGTTTGCAGGCTCCCACTGGGTGCTGAGAGCTTTGCCTGCGTACACTGGACTTCTCCCAGCACCCCTGCGAGGTGGCCATTTACAGGTGGGGAGCAGGCCCAACCAAGAGAAGTGGCAGAGCTGAACCCATCTTCCCCACCCTTCGGACCCCAGGGATGTATTTGATTATTTCCGTTTAGTTGACCTTGGCTTCCCCGGCAGTCTGGGCTCCTGAAGGCAGAGTGAGGCAGTCCAGATGTTCACGTGATGGTCAAGGGCATGGGCATCACCACCAGCCTGTCTGGGTTCAAGTCCCTGCTCCACCACACTAGCACCACACTAGCCTCCACCACACTAGCCACTTCATCTCACGTGCCTCAGTTTCCTCACCTGTAAAATGGGAGTCACATAACGCCTCCTCAAAGGGCTCCTAGGAAGACTAAACGAGTTCATAAGCACAAAGTGCTCAGAACAGGCTTGGTACCTAATGAGCCCTGTTACATGTCAGCTAATGGTTTATTTAATACGCCTTCGAGGGCAGGGGCTCAGACACACACGTCGCACAGTCAGCGAGGGCTCGGGGCGGAGTGCTGGGTGTTCCACAGACCTTGGAAATGGTGTGATTTTTTTCCCAGGACTCAGCCCAGGGCCTGAGAGTCCAGTCAGGTGTCCTCTCCCCGACTGGTCCTGCACAGGCTCCCGAACCTCCCCATCGCTGTCCTGTTGGACGGAAGACTTGCCATTTACCTGCCCAGGGCCCTAGCCCAGGCAAGCATTCTTCCTCACCCCCTTCTGTACCCCACTCTCTGGCACGCAGTGCACGACTGAGACATGTCTCCATTTCACCTAGCACCTGAGAAGGGAGGGAGGAAAGGTGGTCTCCTTTCCTCTGATGGCATCTAGGTGGGACGGGCCCTCCCTCTGCCGCCCTCTGGTGGCCAAAAGGCAGAACGGCATGGTGTTGGGCACACTTGGCGCCCCCCTCCCCTTCCGTCACCCCCCAGAGGCCCCAGTCTGGGCGGAGGGGGTGGGGGTGGGGAGACCTGGTCCCGACCTCTGCCTGCCGGATGCAGGAGACATCAGACAGCCCAGTGGGACGGGAGAGAGAAACCTCAGCCTGGTCTTTCCGTAGAGGACACCTGTCTTGTCCTCTAGCTTCGTTCTCTTCCCGGGCAGAACCCTGGCGGGGCAGTGGATCCGCCTGCAACCAGCTAGGCTCGGTCTCCTCTCCCGCCAGCGGCCCGGCCCGGGCTGTGCTGCAGGGCCAAGCGCCCAGCCCGGCCTCGCGCCTCACAGCGTCCCGCGTGTCACAGGTGGTCATCGTGGTGACGGACGGGAGGCCCCAGGACAGCGTGCGGGATGTGTCTGCGCGAGCCCGGGCCAGCGGCGTCGAGCTTTTCGCCATTGGCGTGGGCCGCGTGGACAAGGCCACGCTGCGCCAGATCGCCAGCGAGCCGCAGGAGGAACACGTGGACTACGTGGAGAGCTACAACGTCATCGAGAAGCTGGCCAAGAAGTTCCAGGAGGCCTTCTGCTGTGCGCGGGCGACGGGCGGCGGGGCGGGGCGGGCGGGTCTCTGGGGCGGGACTGAGATGGAGGCAGCATCGGGGGCGAGGCCAGGGCGGGGCGGAGGTTGCGGATCTGGGAGAGGCCATCCAAGAACCCTTCTGAGTGGCAGCTCCCGGTGGGGACCAGGGGGGCGGGAATCCGGTTAAAGAGGAGGCCCTAAAAGCCTGTGCGTGACGGCGCGGGGCTTGGGGCGCCAGTGTTCCGCGATGCGGGAGATGGGAGCAGCGTGCGTCCTTGGGCGGGAGAGGTTAGTCCTACTAAGGAGGGGAAGTGGGGG